GCGGACGAAGGGAAAAGTGCAGCGGCCTTAGCAGCTTGTCGAACTTTGGCTGAAGAGCTAAGCGAACAACGTTTCCCGGCTCCTAGAATTCTTTCTTTCAAAGTAATTATATTTTGCTTGCTTCGATTTTCTTTCTTGGGTCATTTGCATAGATACCGCATAATTCTTATATTTTTATATATCTAACACCTAAACTTTGATATTTAAGTGCATACCACTTAAGACCTATAATATCACATCGAAAATACTATTATTACTAACTTTTTAATAATGAAATACATTGTTTCATGCACATATTTATAACACCGAAGTGTCATAAATATAAATATCAAACTTCAGGTGTTAGATATATAAATACATAAGAATTGTGTGGTACATATGTAGAAGCTGAAAAGTAGGGGTTGTGTTAGGTAGTCAACAACCAACATAAAGTGAAAAATCATGACATGAATCATTTTGATCATTTGTGTAAATGTTAAGGTGTCCCCTGGAAGCGACATATTGTATGACCTGAGTACAGTGAAAAGTGTGCAAGGGCCGCTACACTGGCGCCCTGGTGTAGTGTCAAATAAGCAAGGGTTCCCACATTACGGATGAATGCGAGTAAAGAAGTTAGTCCATTGAACTAATATTAGAATAAAATCTTGAAATATAAGTACTCTTACAGGTAAATTAATGGAATTAATTGATATTTTGATTAATAGAAAGATAAATATCTTATGTATTCAAGAAACTAAATGAGTTTGAGAAAATGCTAAGTTGATTAATAATTTAGGTTTTAAACTTTAGTATTCAGGTAAGACTCGCACTAGAAATGGTGTAGTTAGAATTATAAATAAGAGTTTGATAGATAATGTTGTAAAAATTAATAGAATTGGAGATAGGATTATAACACTTAAGATTACTGTTGATACTATGATTTTTAATATTATAAGTGCTTATGCTCCTCAAGTAGGTTTAAATATATGTTATAAAGAACAATTCTGGAGTGACCTAGAAGACTTAATACAAATGATATCTCTTGAAGAAAGAATATTTATTGGAAGAGATTTAAATGAACATGTTGGTGTGGTAGAAGATTTTAAAAATATTCATAGTGGCTACGATTTTGGAGTGATTAACGAAGAAGGTAGAACCATATTAAAAGGTGTGAACGCTTTAGATACCTTAGATCTATTGTTCAAAGTGATGGTGATATAGATGGGAATGTTATTAGTAGAATTCAAGTTGGTTGATTGAAGTGGAGGGATGCTTTGGCTCTATTGTGTGATAGAAAAGCACTGCTTAGACTTAAAAGAAAATTTAATAAGATGGTGGTGAGACCTGAAATGCTCTATGACGTTGAATGTTGGCCTTTAAAAGACATGCATAAAACTAAGTGTTGCCGAGATGAGAATGCTTGGGTGGATGAGTGGCTTTATGCTTAGAGACAATGTGAAATGAATATATCCTTGATAGGGTTGGTGTCAGAGAGACTCTTCTTAGATGGTCTATATTAGGAGAGTAGATGTTTTAGATTCGACTTATGTTAAGAAAGACAGAGGTAGACCTTGAAAAACTTGAGCATATTTTATAAAAAATAATCTTAATTTATTAGAGTTAAATAAAAATATGACACTCAATAGGTCGTAATGGAGAAAAAGGATTCATGTAACCGAACCCACTTAGTGGGATAAAGGTTTGTTGTTATTGGTCTCTCCACGACTCCATCGCGTATTTTGAGCTTAATTGGACTTTTTTTGTTATGATTCATGCTTTTGCTTTTTCTATAAGTCAAAGTATGAATGAATTATTCACATTTGCATCTTCCATCTCGTTTCCTCCTATATTAAATGTTCCGTGGCAGACAACAATTCATTTGTTCCGATTTTGTTATTTTTAAGTACATTGGAAATAATCTTATTCATGGGCAATTACTTACATATCACCTGATGCGTGTCAAAAGGCCCACGGAAGTAGATTAATAATTTAGCATCTTAGCGTTGAACAAAGATCCAACACACACACAAATAAAAGAAAAGTAAACAAGATGAGACACTTCAATTTTACATATAAGTCGTAGTGAACAGCTGCGATGACGTTCGTAGATCATCATGATTGCCAGATTATGACACCACGTTGTTACCTTCCAATTGGGCACCAAAAGCTTCAAAAAATGGTTTAATGGCTCGATCTAGGCTTAATTTGGCTCGGATTGGGCAATGTTTGTGTCATTGCATTCATCTTGTCGAGTTAGTCAGTTTGTTCGTAAGTTTGTTGAGATCGGAGTTCTGGATGATTTTTATTTGAAATTTGAATATTTCTTGCTAAAATAATTTTTTCAAGATTCATGCCACTCATCGATATCTGTGTCGAATGATGAAAATTTGTTGATGGCGAATTACCACTTAATTATATATTTTTATATCGAACACCTAAATTTACTTTTTGCATTTACACTGCTCAAATATTTCTTATCACATCAAAAATATCACAATTTTAACTTTCAAAAAGTGAAACTCACTCTTTAATGCATAGGTAAGGTGACATATATATGTAAAAATTAAAGTAGAGGTGCTAGAGAAGTAAATTCATTAGAATTGAGTGTTATGTGTGTATCTATTTGCTCCCAAGTCTTTCATGCAGATGATAGGAACAAGACAAGTTTTCGTAAAAATTAGGGCATAGATAATAGATTCTATTTCATCAAAATAGTACAATCCCGGATACATAAAAGTTAAACACGGGGTAAGCGATCTCTCCTAAACCCTAACCCTAAGATTTAAGATAAAATCACACATAACATAATTCTAAATATATTAAGCCCTATTTATACCCCACAATAATAACCAATAAATAAGTAAATTGCCCTTTTAGTTTTGCACTTAACATGTCTTCAAATTATATTGTGGGAGCTAACATTACTCCTTTCCTAAAAGGAAACTTTACCCTCAAGGTAGAAGTGAGCAAACTATTGTTGGATCAAGTCGTATAGCTCCCACGTGGTGTCATAATCTGGCAATCTTTTCCATTTAATATGCATTTCTTTCCCCCTTGTTGATTGCTAACACACCCCTTAGGACTCGAGTGGCTTTCGGAGAACTTCCATATCCTTATCCTCTCCTAGGAAGTTTCTTATGCATAAAACATAATCTATTGGTGTAACCATGTTCTTGCTATGCACAATTTCTCTCAATATTCGATCAATTGTTGTGCCCTTAGTAACTCCCACTAAACTAACTTCAACCGATCGACTGCCTTGGATGACGTCAATAACTACATTAGATATTAGACATGTCCCTAGATGTTGTAGCGTGTCCTTTGCTTGAATTTTTCCAAATTCAAAATATGCATGCTTGTAGTACCATATAAGTGAGGTCTCCTGAGACTTGAAATGAGACCTAGGAGTTCTTTTCTGTAAGATATTCAAAAACATGCTTCACACTATCAACCCAGTTCATAATAAAATGTGTTGACATTGTATTCATCCACTCTTCATCTGTAAGATGCAAAAATATCCCATTTTCTACTATCATCCTTGTATTGTATTTCCTAAAATTATCGTCTAAGACAAATCTAAGACATCCACTAAGAAAAATATGAAGCAAGAATACCGAGTAATCAATCCAACATCGACCCGCCGAGGACAAATATACTCTATGGAAGACAAATAGAAGTAGAGATTAGAGAACGAACACAAATATTCAACCCTAAGCTCTCGACGAGACAAAGCTTTTCGCGGGTTTGAGATGAAGAGGAGAGTCGGCCGAAAGTTTTCGAGAGGGGAAATGCCGAAAGGGAAGCCGAAGTGTCAAACAAGCGAACAGTAATGTGGGGTAGGGTTTAGGCTTTTTACTTTTTACAATTTAGTTTGAATATATTAATATATATAAATAATATATTAATTATATAACTTATATTATATAAATATATAATATTTATATTACTAATACAATTTATTGATATATTATTATTATTAATTTATTATATATTATAATTTATAGAATTTAATTTTTAAAATTTGATAAATACGAACAAAAATGATTCGAACACGAATGAACGCGTCACTGTTCGTGTTTGGTTCGTTTAACAAACCGAACGAAAAAAAATTGTTTGTGTTTGTCTCGTTTGCTTATCGAACGAATCGCACACGATCTCCTTGGCAAACCAAACACGAATAGTTCACGAACAACGAGCTTTTTTAACAGCTCTATCTGTGATAGGGTTGGTGTAGCTCATGTGACGGACAAAATTAGAGAAATTCCTCTTAGATGGTTTGGTCACATTAAACGTCGACCATCTGATGATCTGTTTAGGAGAGTAGATGTTTTAGATTCAACTTATGTTAAGAAAGGCAGAGGTAGACCTAGGAAGACTTGGGCTTATTGTATAAAAAATGATCTTGATTTACTAGAACTCATGATATGACACTAAATAGGACACAATGGAGGAAAAGGATTCATGTGGCCGACCCCACGTAGTGGGATTAAGGCTTTGTTATTGTTGTTGTTATACTAGTTATTATTGTTTGGTATAAATAAGGCTTATTATCCTTAAGGTTAAGTATGTGATGAGATTGTTGACTTGTGTCTTCGGACTAGGGTTTGAAATAAATTGTCTACCTTTTGAATTGTAGGTTTTAGGGTGAGGGTTGGGAGAAATCGTCCACCTCTCAAATTATAGGTGTTTATCATTCATGCATTTGAGTTGAGGTGCTTAGTGTTATTAAAATAAATATATAGTTGCCCTTACTTCTATGAAAAACTTATTAAGTTCCTATCACAGTAATGTTAGTTTTTGGATCATTGCAAAGTGTTGTCAACGGGTCTTTTAAACCTATGTGAAGCTTAAGCTCCATCTCTTAAATTTGATTGCCTCTTCTACCATAAGATTCAACCGGCCTTGTTAGCACTTGATTGAAACCCTAGGGGTACCAGTAGGTGCGCACACTCTTGATTGAAACCCTAGGGGTAGCAGTAGGTGCGCACACTGATGGGAGAAACTCCTGATCTTAGGGTTATTACATGTTTGCATTTCCTCCGAAGTGACAAACTGCATGGCACTTAAAGAAATTCTACAAATTGTTGTAGTTGTTGGATCGAAGCATCAATCCCTACAACTCTGTGTCATGTGTCTCTTGTATGTTTTGTAACTCGATCAATAATCCCAACCTTGCATTTTGTATTGCCTTAAATGTGATCTTGAGTGTCACTAAAGTCTTGTACAAACTAGGCTCACCACGAAGCACCACCATCTTGTCTCCCTCTTTGAACTCTCTTATTAGGAGTTTTCAATTCAGCTTAGTCTCCTCTAAGGACTGCAATCATTTCATACCTAATGTCACATCAGTGCTCCCTAAATCTAAGAGAAGAAAATTCTCCGTCACTTGATTATCTTGTATTGTTAAAATCGCTCCTTTACAAACTCTTTTGCTCTTCCCACATGTCCCCACTATATAGCAACACCATTACATCCTACTCTCAAATTTGTCTCCGAATGAGACTTCTACCACATCCAAATGAGGGTGTTCCCCCTCCTGCTCCACAATCTCCTCTATTTTTTCATCCCCTGCCTCATCATTGCACATTATGAGAATTTGTAAGTTTTGAACCGAAAGCACAATCCCTTGGCTTGCTTCTCCTGAATATCTATCTCTATAAGGTGTTTGAATGTCATCTCCGGTCATAACTCATTATTCTTGTCCCATGCTACCTCCCTTTGGAATCTTATTGTTTGAATTTTTGATATCATCGTGGTTGTGGCATTTCGGTATAGCGCTTCACTTGTGTTGCTTCTATTAGCCCGTTCCTTTACATTTTTATCTTCAAGCAATTGCACTAATTCTATAGTTTCTCCTAATCCTCACCATCTCAGCTGACCAAGTGTTGTTTGAATCTTTGGCTTCAGCCCCTTTATGAAATTTACTTCAAACACAATTTCGAATATCCCTCTCTAACGGTTGGATAACAGCTTAGATTTCTTCTTATAATCCATTAAGTACTTTTCCTGGACCAATGCAAAAACAACTCATGTAAATCTCCTTCTCGTGTGGTTCTAAAACTCTACAACAATCGATCCTTAATATCTTCTCATGTTTTGATTGGCTGACATTGTATTCTCTATTGATACAATGGTAGAGCTTTCCATTTCAAACACAAGCCCTCTATCATCAATTTTTCTTCCTCAATCAGTCCATTAACATCAAAGTATCTCTTCATGCAATAAACTCAACTATAGTCATCATTTTCTTCAAAGATCGACATTTTCAACTTCCTTATGTTTGAGTCTTCTCTCCACTTTCATCACCAAATTTTGTTCCGCCTATAAAGCGGGGTTTGGACTTTCTTCCCGTATTGATTACCCTTACTCCAAAAGCCTAGCTCACCCGTATTCCTTTCACCCGGAAGGTCGTCGTATCAAAAAGCACTGCGCAGTTGGATGCAGCCCTCGACTGACGTGCCACCCACCGTGGTTCACTGTTCTAGGCCAACATCTTTCAAATCGATCTTCTGCACCTCAAATTGCTTGTCGTTTCGTTTGGCTTTCCGCCGCATGTTCAGCTATCTTTGGATACATTGTAATTCCTTCCAAATATTGTCGCTCAAGTCCGCTCCCGATTCCTTCACTCGATCTTGTGGCTCCATATCCGCCTAAGGCTGCAACGCTGCCCTGATGCCACGCGAATTCTTTTGATTGTTAGCACCCGCATCTACTCCAGATGTCGTCGCTCGATCCTGCAACAAGCCGAGAAACACTCTTCTATTTCAAATTTGATTTGGCCTACCTCTCTCTTTAATTTTTCCCAAAAGTATTTACTTTCTTGGTCGTCATTACTCCCAAGACGATTTTTTATCACGAAGGTGGAACTTTTGTACACCGTGATGTCATCATTGTCTTCCCCGCTAGCTCGAATCATGACTGTATCGTGAGATGTAGTCATGAAGGCGGTGCCACGATCCTACATGGCTTGTGATTCAAAAATATCAAAACTCTATGCTTCGATTTTGTACATCGCGATTCAATATGCAATGCGATAGATCCTGTACAACACGATCCTTTCGTTGGCTTCCAGGCTAGCTTGAATCGCGATTGTATCACGAGGTTCAATACCAAATCAAAATGGAACTACAAGTATGCAAAAGTTCAACATCTGCATGCTTGTAGTTCCATACAATTAAATCTCCCCTCCATGGATGAGAACAACCCCAATTTGATACGAGCGAGACAAGTTTCTGCAGAAATTAGTGCAGAAATAATATATTATATTCTGACAGTACGATATCAAAATGATACAATTTCGAATACATAAAAGATAAACACTTATAATTCGAGAGGCAGAATTCTGCTTGTCTGGAACTCGGCGATCTTTTTCATTTTTTCTTCCAATGTCGTGAATCTCCTCTCCATGGACAAGAACCACACTTCATGGACGAGAAACACTCTTCTATTTCAAATTTGATTTGGCCTACCTCTCTCTTTAATTTTTCCCAAAAGTATTTACTTTCTTGGTCGTCATTACTCCCAAGACGATTTTTTATCACGAAGGTGGAACTTTTGTACACCGTGATGTCATCATTGTCTTCCCCGCTAGCTCGAATCATGACTGTATCGTGAGATGTAGTCATGAAGGCGGTGCCACGATCCTACATGGCTTGTGATTCAAAAATATCAAAACTCTATGCTTCGATTTTGTACATCGCGATTCAATATGCAATGCGATAGATCCTGTACAACACGATCCTTTCGTTGGCTTCCAGGCTAGCTTGAATCGCGATTGTATCACGAGGTTCAATACCAAATCAAAATGGAACTACAAGTATGCAAAAGTTCAACATCTGCATGCTTGTAGTTCCATACAATTAAATCTCCCCTCCATGGATGAGAACAACCCCAATTTGATACGAGCGAGACAAGTTTCTGCAGAAATTAGTGCAGAAATAATATATTATATTCTGACAGTACGATATCAAAATGATACAATTTCGAATACATAAAAGATAAACACTTATAATTCGAGAGGCAGAATTCTCCCAAACTCTAACCCTAAGATTCTAAACAACAATAACACATGGCCTAGCCCTAAATATATCATGCCCTATTTATACCCAGAATAATTACTAATAAATAATTAAATTGACCTTTTAGTCTTGCGCCTTACATAATTTTTCAACTTATTTAGCGGAAGGCGTTGTGAGCTCGTCTAACAGCTTATCAAGGATTCACGTATATTTGTAGCTGCAACATTCACATAGGAGAAAAAAGTTCTCGAGACACCTAATATTTTATAGGAGCATTTACATACATAGCACGCAATTCTAATATATTTACATATCTCACCCCTAAACTTTTTATATTTACACATATAGCGCTCAAATTTTTAATATCACATAAAAAATAACACTATTGTCACTTTTTAAAAGTGAAATATAAGCCTAAAGCGCCAATAAAGATTGAAAAAATTAAGAAGTCCCACAAGTTTGGTAAATATGTCATTAAATTGTGTTACTTTTGATTCGTGGAGTGGAGACTTATTTTGACAGTATTTCATTTTTTTTATGAAGTGCTGTCTGTTTTGTTTGGTTCTTTAATGAAAGATAAGATTGCTTGAATGAGGTTAAATTAAGGATCATAGGTTGTCATAGGGAAGCTGAATTCTTCTGCCAAAGTGTAATGGTAAATTTTCATACATACCCACAAAGTTCTTATGAATTTACATATGAACGCCCAAAATTTGTTATTTACACTTTATCGCACGTTAACGTCATAAACTTATGCAAGAAAATGTACATTTCACTTTAAAAACTTAGAGATAGTGGTATTTTTTGTGTGATGTTAAAGATTTGAGTGGTATGTTCCTTAACATGAATGTCTACTTGTTAGATGGGGAAATTTACGAGAATGGTGTCGTATGTAAATGCCCCTGTATTCAACTTCGCATGTGTCATTCGCCTTATTTTTATTTTCCTTATTCCAGGAGGGAAGCTCACAAGCTCGATACTTCGTATCTCGTCTAATTCCGGCTCATAAAGATCCTCCCTATGAGCAGGTATGGTTGAATTCTTGAACATATGGACTTAGGAGTGTAATTGAGCCGAGTTGTGCTCGAGCTCGAACTCAATTAACGAGCTTTATTCAATGAATTCGAGCCACCTCACGAGTCAAGACTAATACTTCAAATTATTGTCTCATTCCAGGAGGCGAGATTCGCTCAACTCCGCTCATTATCCACCGCTCAAAGAGCGAGATTGAAGGCGAGTTTCTTCCACACCGACGATCCGAGCTTCTGCGAGTGGATGCGGAGCTTCAAACTGGCCGCTCCCGAACCGAGCTAACGCCGAGGAATGACATGATGAAGATTCGAGGCAGCTTCAGATCTTTCCATTATATCAAATTTAGAAAAATTTCATTGGAGCTTCCTGCAAGTAAATATTGCTTGAAATATATTTAAGATTTTGAGTGGAAGAGATGAATAAGGAATTATTGTTCATTTGAAATTGCATTTGTTGTCGCTTGCTCTATTTTTCCCTATCCCTTCGGTGTAAACTGTAATTTGCTTTTGTGGCCTGAGTGCTGGTAGGAAATTTATGTAACAACATATTTCAGCTAATTCCTAATGTTTTACAATATGGAATTTTGCATGCATATCATACAATTTTTTTACATATATCGCACCCAAAATTTGATATTTACATTTATAACATTTTGGTGTCATAAATCTATGGAAAGATGTATTTCATTTTTTAGGATGTGATGGTGAGTGGTATGCATGTAAAATATGAATGTTTTGGTGTTATAGATGTAATTGGTCAAGCATTGTATGTAAATGCCTCTTTATAAGAATAGTAAATCATATCATGTTATTATTATGCTGTTATGATATATAAAATTAAGTGTATTTTATTATATAAATCAACCTATTTCTTCCTTTTTATTGGCACACCTTGAAGTTTATATTATAAAGATAATTACATAGTAGCACTCACAACTAGGGGTGTAAGCGAGCTCGTGTTCGGCTCATTTATATTTCGAGCTCAAAAAATGTGTTCGTGTTTGACTAATTTGTTTAGCGAGCTGAATATGAGTCATTCACGAACAAAGAGTCATTTTGACAACCCTAATCAGGTAGTCATAAGATATTAATAATTGAGGTAAGATTTAAAACATCATTTGAATCTAATTTAATAATTTTTATTCAATTTTCTTTATTAATATTTTTAATTGATTATATATATATATATAATTGATTAGTAATATTTCAAGTCAAAACGAGCCGAACACAAATGAATAAATATTAGTTCGTGTTGTTCGTGTTCAGCTCGTTAACTTAGCAAACGAGTCGAGCAGGAGCTTCTTAGCAAGCCGAACACGAGCTGTTCGCGAACAATTAGCTGTTTTGACAGCCCTACTCACAACGTTGCTATTTACACAATAGTCAGGCAAGTCTTTTTTATAACAAACCCACAAATTTATGTGTGCCATGATCATTCATTATGAATTTGATAAAAATGAAAAATATGAGTGAGTTTTTATTATGAATTTTGATTTCTGAGGGACAAAATTAAAAAAATAAATAAATTCAATATATATATATATATATATATATATATATATATATATGAATTTTGAACATTTTCATTCATTATTAATCAATAATCAATTTGATCTATCAGTCTTGAGTCAAGGAGAGACCAAACATTCAAATAATCAAATTTACAAATGAGTGAATGTATACATATGAAATTGGTTCCCTAATAAATTATTTTAATATATTATATACTTAAAATATATGTATATGAGTGAACCTCTATTTATTTATAAATTATTTTTAAATTGAATCATATAAATTTTCAAAGTATTTGTACACTGAAAATGTCTAAGCATGAACAGACCCATCAAAGAATCTCAAGACCATCCACTCAACTAGTCAGCTCGTGTATTGAGAGGACGGCGCTTCCAGACCGATAACAATTAAATCATCCTTGAAAGAATCTATCTGATCTTTTTAATGCGGATTAATCCAGCGCCCTCTAACTCACATGAAAAAAGTTGATCATTCAGCTCCAGAGTAGATAAAATCAATTCTAAAAAAAAATGGTCGCTCGACCTAATGACCACTCAGTTATATCTATGGCCCCCTGAGTCATATTCATGTATCGACTAAAAATGCTCTTTTCATATTTACGTACGATAAGGGTACAAAATGTAATGTACAAACCACCATTCCTATATATATAGAGTCCATTCCATGAATAAAAATTACAGAAATTTACTCTTCAATATTGTGTTAATGATAAGTTTTAATAAAAAAATTAAACAATCGACTTTTAATAAACCTAAAACTATATATTGATATACGATCCATTTACATACATATCACCCAATTCTTATTTACATCATCTAATCTTTTATATTTATATTTATATCACCTAAATCTTTTATATCACATTAAACATATTATTTTCTTAATTTTTAAAATTTAAATGCGCTTTAAAATTTAGTTGCTAGAAATGTAAATACATGATAATTGTGTAGTATGTATGTAAATCTTGATTTTTGAGCAACATCAATAATCCTAAAAAGAGAATGATAGATTTGTAAATAACAAGTTTAAGGTGGACTATACTATGTATTTGCCTCTTAAGTTTTAAACCCTAATTCGCCCCACCTATAAATATCTATCTCCCTTCACTCTCAACCCTCGCTCATCCCCAACTCTTCCCGATGGCCGCCTCAAAACCCATTGCTCGACCTCTGGTCTCCGTCCAGTCTCTCGAAGGCGACATGGCCGTCGACGACAACGCGGCCGCCTCAATACACCTTCCGGACGTTCTCCGCGCCGTGATCCGACCCGACATCGTTCGCTTCGTACACGATAACCTCTCCCGCAATAAGCGTCAGCCCTACGCCGTCTCAAAGCGTGCCGGCCATCAGACCTCCGCCGAGTCGTGGGGTACCGGTCGCGCAGTATCCCGTATTCCTCGCGTTCCCGGTGGCGGAACCCATCGTGCCGGCCAAGGAGCGTTCGGCAACATGTGCCGCGGCGGCCGGATGTTCGGCCCGACCAAGATCTGGCGTCGATGGCACCGTCGCGTTAATATTAAGCAGCGTCGTTATGCTGTTGTGTCTGCGCTCGCGGCTAGTGCTGTGCCGTCTCTCGTGCTCGCTCGCGGGCATCGGATCGAGTCTGTTCCTGAGATCCCTCTTGTTCTCTCTGATTCGGTTGAATCTATTGAGAAAACTTCATCGGCGATCAAGATTCTTAAGCAGGTTTTATTTACTTCGCTTTCTCACTTGCTCTGTTTTGACCAGCTAATCTAGTGGTTTATCATTAGCTTAGATGATGAATGTTAATTAAGACAATGGTTGTGATTGGAATTATAGAATTTCTCAGCTCTGATACAAGCTAATTACCGGGATCAACGTTTATATCAATCATTGATTAAGTTGGCAGGTTGGAGCTTATGCGGATGCGGAGAAAGCTAAGGATTCGCTCGGGATCCGTCCTGGAAAGGGAAAGATGCGTAACCGGCGTTATATCTCTCGCAAGGGTCCATTGATCGTGTATGGAACAGAGGGGTCTAAGATTGTCAAGGCATTCAGGAATCTCCCTGGTGTTGATGTTGCTCATGTTGATCGTTTGAATATTTTGAAGCTGGCTCCTGGTGGTCATCTTGGGAGGTTCATTGTTTGGACTAAATCGGCATTTGAGAAGCTGGATAAGGTGTTTGGAACCTTTGAGATTCCGTCAGAGCTGAAGAAGGGTTATGTGCTTCCGAGGCCAAAAATGATTAACGCAGATCTTGGTAGGATTATTAATTCTGATGAAGTGCAGTCTATTGTTAAGCCAATTAATAAGGATGTGAAGAGAAAGACATTGAAGAAGAACCCATTGAAGAATTTGGACACCATGCTGAAGTTGAATCCTTATGCTAAAACGGCAAAGAGGATGGCTCTGCTTGCTGAGAAGCAGAGGGTGAAGGCTAAACAAGAGAAGCTCGGCAAGAAGAGGAGCACACTCACTAAGGTAAAATGTTAATTGTTTTATACTAGTTAGTTGATTTTGCTGTACATGTTATTCTCATTGCAATCTGTTCTTTTCACCTTTCAAAGATGAATTAGCATTTTGATAAAATTTATTTCATCATTTCACACTAATTTGATGATTGCTTGCTAAACTTTAATATCTTGGAAACACTATTTAGGTTGATAAGCAAATACATTTTTTTTCTTTCTGTATTCAGTATACCTTAATATGTGCAGACGGTATGAAAATGTGTTAATTTTATTATTTTTATTTTTATTATTATTATTATTCTTATAATCTTTGCTCGTTAAAATTATGATAGCTCAATGTAGTTGATTTTTTCTCTAACTATTTGATGGCATAAGGTGTTATGATCTTTATTCATTAGCTTTCAGGGCTGTTTAACTGCAAGTAGGATTTGGTTGATACTGTAAATTCAAATTTTGCAAATTTTAGTTATTTGAATTTTGAAAAGCATATGTTATGATAAATGTTAGATTGGGTTGCATCCAGGGAAATTGTTTGGATTTTTATTTCAAAATTCAAGTTAGTTAACTCAAATAATATTTCAGTGATAATTATATGAATGTTAAATCTTATTGTATGTATTTAACTTGTTTCAAACTTAGATTAATTTAATTATGATTGGTGTAAGAGAACATTTCCATTAATATCTACTTAGCAATTTATTATGCTATTTAAAATAATAATCTCTTTGTAGCAATTTTTTTGTTGATAGAATATTACTAGTTATAAATTGGAACTTTTAATTGATCCTTGTAAGGTTTACTAAGTCATACGTAACATACATTATAATTCTTAAATATAATTATTGACTTTGCACTTAGTTGTAGTCTTGTAATCGACCCTCCATGCCCCTTTAGTCCTTTTAATGCTTCGGCCTTCTTTCTTCATTTCATTCATTTTGTGGTAGTTTACACTTTAGGAAAAAAACCTCCTTCCTGGCTTGGAAGATCGCTTCACCTCTGGCAACTAGCTTTTGTCGCTTCAATCAATGGCAAAAGCTACCTTTTATCAATCAATGCCATAGAAACCTATACCTAGAACTCCTATTAAGATTAAGAAAAAGAATCTCTGATAGTGCACAAAAGAAACTTTGTAGCGGAGTATTGGCTTTTTTTTTCTCCCCACATGAATAAAAATAAAGAAAAAAGGGAATGAATTTGAATTCCCTTATGATGAAAGAAAGGGAAAAGTCTTCATAAGAAAATGATGCTATTTGACCACATTGTCTTAAATTCTCATAGATTTTAGGTATATTTTATATAATCTCTGATAGTGCACAAAAGAAACTTTGTAGCCGAGTATTGGCCTTTTTTTTTTCTCCCCACATGAATCAAAATAGAGAAAAAAAGGAATGAATTTGAATTCCCTAATGATGAAAGAAAGGGAAAAGTGTTCATAAGAAAATGATGCTATTTGACCACATATTCTTAAATTCTCATAGATTTTAGGTATATTTTATATGTGGAGCATTTACATATATTCCACAGTTCTTATGTATTTACATTTCTAACACTAAACTTTTATATTTATATATATAACACTCAAATATTTGACATCACATAGAACAGTGTTATCAAAGTGCAAGGTGATACACACTACTTTTTTTTTCCTTTAAAGAGCAAAGGCCAAAGCTAATCGGCGCTTTTATTAACTAAATTGCTGATAGGCTATACAAAACTATTAATATATAAATACATTCATTAACAATTATAAAACATAAAGTATGACTTCAAAAGTTGATATAACATAGAAGAAAATGTGGTACAATATATAACTTGAAGGCAATTATTGAGGGAAAACTTGAAAATTATAATTTCAAACAGTTTATATTAGTTTATTGCAGTAATTAAAAACTTAAATTGCAAAAAAAAGAACCTGCAAATTAACTTCAATGCTTCTAAACGAGCCTCAGCAAAGCGAAGCAAATGTCACGCGCTTCACTTTGTTTTGCTCATGAAACATGATTTTAATAACACTGACAGAAAATATTCCACCATTTCTAATGTGTGAAATACACCTTTTCATGCATAGATTTTTTTAATACTAACTTGTTATGAACGTAAATATCAAACCTTAGGTGTCAGGTACATGAATGCATAAGAATTGTGTGGGTATGTCCTGTAAACTTCCCTTTATATTGATGTTTATTCTTTTCAAATGGTTTTTTGAACTGAAAATCTGTAATGAGGCTAGGGCTGGCTCAACCTTGACAAGACAATTATGAAGCCGAACTCGAGTTAGCTCACAAGTCGGTTATATTAAATTGTACCCTTCATTTGTTCAAACTATAGCTCTTTTATGATATAGTTCTCTATAATTAAGTCTCATTTGCTAGCTCGATTGTCAAAACATATATTTCATTAGTTTCTGAGGTTCCATCTCCCCATGAGTGTTTTATTTCTTAAACTCTGATTGTTTACAAATTTTTTAGAAGATTTTGCATGCATATCTTCATTCCACTCAATTCCCATGCAATTACATATCTAACACCTAATTCTCCTTTTTTTTTTTACATATATACCACCTTTTTTTATGCATGAGAATTGGGTGGTGGTATGTATGTAAAATGCCCCAAATTTTTTATTTTGATATGTAAATATATTTGAATTTTGGGCACAGGAGGAAGCTGCAAAGGTGAAGGCTGCAGGTAGCGCATGGTACAAGACGATGATATCGGATAGTGATTATACTGAGTTTGAGAACTTCTCAAAATGGTTAGGCGCGTCTCAGTGAGTTTTAGTGTCTGTTCTTCATGATTTTATTATTATTAGTTCCCTTCTGTCTTTCTGTCTGTTGTCTTGTTTTGAATCTGTGTTACAATCCAAAGGATTTTTTTTTTTAAATGCTTTTGAATCCTCATGAATTTTATCTTATTCAGAGACCAGTTTTGAATCCTGCTTTATTTATAATTTTGTTCCTATGATCTCTTTCAGTTTATAGCGAAAATATTTGCGTACGTAAGACGTATGCAGCGCGTACGTAGCGGACCAAGTTATTTGTGAGTTATTTTCAGGTTATTTTTAATAATACCGAAATAATCCATAAATAATCCAAAAATAAAGATCGCGGGTTATTTCTGGGTTATTTCGGTATTATTGAAAATAACTCAGAAATAACCTGAAAATAACTCAAGAATAACGTAAGTTGCACGTAGAGCTACGTCGGGAGTTTGGCAAGAAAAAACGCTCATCAGAGGTTATTCAAAGGATATTGGGGGGTTATATTCGCCTTATATACCCCTGTAACCTCCAAATAAGTTTCGCAATTCTATAGTTCTGGTAGGTAGAGGTAAGTTACAGGAGGTTACACGAGATATAATGCAGATATAACCCTCTGTACTCTCTGAATAACCTTCAACGTACTCAGCGCTGCGTACGTTTGACGTGAAATATTTTCAGTTTATAGCCCGGGTATTTACATATTTACCCTATTAAAATCTGCTTTTTTACATTTGACGTGGTGAGAAATTATCATATGCGGATGAAGTATAATCACTTGTAGGTAATTCTTTCTTCATCTCTTTATCCATGTAAATCGTAAAATCCTAATTAATGAATATTATTAACTAACATATTCATCTGTTTTGATTGGCTTCATATTTAATAATTTTATTTAATTATTTATTTATCAATTTTAGTTGTCTTTAATTAATGTTTAGTTGAAATGAATTAATGTTACTTACTGCATAATGCTTTTGTAAATCCCCATCTCTCCCTAAAAGCTTATATGTAGACTTGTAAATAGCAATATTGCATGCGGATGCGGGGCATGTTTTTCAAAATTTTATACCCACTGCTTTGTATGACATTTTTTTTTCATGGCCTGTAATAACAATAATTTGTTGATATTTAAAATTTAAATCAAACATAATATTTATTCGGGTCGTATATTCTGAATGATTTGTAGGTGAATGAGTGTTGCGTACGTCGTATAGGTTATTCAGAGGGTAGTGGACCGTGTTATACTTCTTGTAACCTACCTGTAACTTGTATCTTCTAATAAGTTCTGTGTTTCTATTTTTATATATTTGTATGTTACAGATAGGTTATACAAGGAAGTTATATGAGGTATAACGTGAATATAATCTCAGACAAGCAAATTTTTGTCTCTCGATAGAGAAGTTATTGCTCATTATGGGCTGTGTTTGATGCCCATCTCTGATTAGAACAATTATTTTTCTGTGATCTCCCTACTTTTAAAATTTAAACACATTCTTTTAATAATTTATCACTTCTAATTACAAAAAAAAGCCTACCCAATACGTATGTAATTACATATTTAACACTCAACGCTTTGTTTTTTATATCCAGATCACACAAATTTGTCCCACATAAAAAAACATCTAAATTGTATTTTTTTCATGAATAAATAAAGCAGCATAGATGTAAAAATTGAAATTTAAATGTTAGATATGCAAATACAAACTTAAGTGGCATGTATGTAAACATTAAAAAATAAAATATGGAGAAATATATAAGAATGTAAAGGTGCAATAAAGAGAAAAAATTAGGTGCAAGATATGTAAAGACATATATAAGAATGAGTGGTGTGTATGTAAATCTTACAAAAAATTAAAAAATTAAAAAGGGGCATTTACATACATGGGTGCATGACATCCAATTCTTATGCTTTTACATATCTAACACCTAAACTTCTACTACCATATTTATACCACCCAAATCTTTCACATCACGTAAAAAAAAAAAAAATCCCAGCATGTTAACTTTCAAGAAGTGAAACGCACCTCTTCATGCATAACGAAAGATGGCATGCATGAAAAATACAAGTTTACGTGTTAAATATGTAAATACAATATATATATAT